AAGAGAGAGATTACGTACTCCTTATAAACGAGTTAGTTGACGGAAAGAGAGTCACTTCCGCGCTGATACATCAACTAGGGATCTCAAATTGAATGGTCTCGCGCTGAGCGAGTTGCTATGGCCACAGTGTCACCGAGAATGAATATGCTCATTTGGGATGTTTCGCCTGGTATGCAATAACTTAATGAGTGATGTGTGTAATCAATGGTACTAACATTTGTTCGCAGGAAGCATGTTGATCGGGTGGGTTTAGTGTTGTTCGGCGGCTGGGTTTCGAAGTGGTTAAGGAGTAAAGTGAGTTGATGGCGACTATATGAAATCTGGTGATACTTCGGTAACAACGAAAAGACAATGTCGCAGGAGATCTTCTAACCATCAAATAAACTGACTATTGATTGTTTAAAGAATTTTCCCATAGTTCTCAACAAGGTCAAGTCAAGGAAAATTAGATAAAGTTATTACTCAATCAAAGAATTCATCCAAATACAAGGGCGAGGAAACGTACGGAAAACAAATGGTGGGTGGGAATTCTGGAGGAATCACGAACTGTGCTTAGGAAGGCTGGAAACATGTGGGCCGGATTCACCAAATGGCTACTCCAGTTGCGAGTCAACAGGAAGCCTTGATCGGGGCAGTCGGTGTAGTCACCTAACTGACTCCACGTTTCGAGTACTATTAGCTCTATCGGCACAGTTGGAGTCACCAAACTACTGACTCGATCACAGTTGCTGGAGTCTACCAGACGCTGACTCGCACAGGTCCGCAGTACAAAAGCTGACCGCACAGTGGATCACCGAAAGCTGACTGCGAATTCGAGTACCAGGACTCTTGATGGATTAGCAACTTCACAAACACGATTTCAATGATTTTTAAGCGATTCTTTCGTCCCAAACCTCTCCAAATGCTCTTAGGTTATCATAAAACGTTAGAACAGTATAGACCGCCAGATAGCTTCACATCAATTACAGTGAACACATCTCAAAAAGCATATAAATAGAAGCTAAGGTCTTCTTCAGGGATCGAGGATTTAGATTAAGAGCGAGGTGCTGAAATTGACCGTCACTCACGATTTCAAGGAAATATCAAGGTGGCGAACAATTTCATAAGAGAAACCCTTCGAAAGGTTTGTGATTCTTTTCACTTCTTTCCTCCGGATTAAACTGGTTTTAAATTCTCGAGAAGAGCAAATCGTTGTGTGATTGTCGCTTCGGTAATTGTTTATTTGTGTGAAAACAAGAGCGTAATATATTGTCGATCGGATTGGTCGCGTGGTCAGCAAGTCCGGCGCAAGATCCGCACGCAAAGCAGCCGGGAGATAAACTACTGCTGCGTTTGTGTATTGATAACACGTTGTAATGCTTTATTTTCGTTGATAAGAAGATTTATAAAAGATCAACTTGCTTTTCAGTGAACTGTAATGATAAACGGTAACAAGTTTGAAAAAATGGAAAGCATCTTTTGACACACACGAATCTCGATAACATCTATACTCCGTCCAACATCAATCACAGCGACGCTCTCTAAGACGAGCAAATTCAAGTAGGAGTCTAAATTACTCAATGCAATTCGTACGCAAAAACACACAATAATAAAATATTAGTGTAGAATAATAATAAAATGAATAATAATAATAAATAATTTCCTGTTTTGATTAAGTCGGAATGGGAGCATTAAATGAGATTCACAGGTTCTTGTAAGTGTTTCCTGAACACCAAGCCGATCGTAGTAACTTGCACGGCGATCTTCGGTAAACGTATACCCTAGTTAACAACGCCGACCAAACGATCCCATTCCTCGCTCGCCTCTTCGAGATCAATCGATCGAGGCGCGCTGCTGACCGGGGCGTCGGAGGAGGCAGAAGGACGGTGGTTAGGGATCTGGAGTGAGCAATGGTCGGAGGGAGGGCGACGAAGGAGTAATCGGGAGGGGGACGCGGATCTGGTAGGGTTTAAGGTTAGTTGGTTAGGGTTAGGTTCTGGTTTGGGAATGGCCGGTGAAGGGTAAGGAGGAGGAGAGAGCAGGAGGAGGAGAGAGGGAGGGGGGCGATTGAACGCGATGGAGGAGCAGGGAGATGAAGGTGGAGATTTGATGTTGAGAGAAGGCGTAAATGTTTTCACGGCGATTCGCGCGGATACGGGGAGAGCGTGGTTATCTGGTGGGATAGAGTCTGGGTAAAATCACCAGTTGTGCTACGGTCGCGTGATGCTTGAGATGCAATCTAGATTAGC